CCCGCCACCTCGCCCGGCTAGTTTTTTGTATTTTTAGTAGAGACGGGGTTTCACCGTGTTCGCCAGGATGGTCTTGATCTCCTGACCTCGTGATCCGCCCGTCTCGGCCTCCCAAAGTGCTGGGATTACAGGCTTGAGCCACCGCACCCGGCCCCTGGAATTATTAATAAATGAGCATATTCTATATAAACACAAAAGATCAAGTATAAAGGCATCAATAATAAAATTTATAAGTGTTAATTCTATGTAATTAATGATGCTTTTTAATTGAATTAATTAATAACCAACAATTGCCACCTATAATTGCCATCATAGGTAAAATATTAATCTATAAGAAAGTACATTTCTATTGCCAACTGTGACCAATGTTATTTAGCTTAAAAAAAAGGAATAAGAAAAGAAAATCTGGATTAAAATGTCATGCAATGACATTGCATAGCAAGTTTATGCCATTAACATGTTTATAAAAGTTAATGTTTATAACTCCCTTTAATCTGCCAAAAGCTATTTAAATTAAGAGACTCCTAAATAAAAATATTTGCAGTGGTTCATGCCTCTAATCTCAGCACTTTGGGAGGCTGAGATGGGTGGATCACTTGAGGCCAGGAGTTCTAGAACAGCCTGGCCAAAATGGCAAAAACTCATCTCTACTAAAAATACAGAAATTAGCCAGGCGTGGTGGCGTGTGCCTATAGTCTCGGTTACTTGGGAGGCTGAGGCACGAGAATTGCTTGAACCCCAGAGGGTGAGGTTGCAAAGGGCTGAGATTGAGCCACTGTACTCCAGCCTGGATGACAGAGCAAGAGACTGTCTTAAAAATAAAATAAATTAAAAGCAATAATAATTTTCTATCACTTCTCAGTTTGTGTTTAATTTTATTTGGTATTTCAAGGGTATTAAATCGGAAACCATCAAAAGAAAAATCATGTTTCAACTATACAAAAATATAATAATACAGTAAAAGTATCCATTATTAAATTTATAATACCTAAAGGATTTGAATAGATTTTGACAACTTAAAGTAGTTATTTGTTAAGCTAGAAGTCGACTCTTAATTGAACCTCTCTAGTAAGTGTTAAGAAACATGAATAAAATAAAATCATAAAGGGAATTTAGAAAAAATTATCTGTATTTGTTGAGTAAGATAAGAAATAGGAGACAGTGTCATTTGTAACACTGCAGGAAAATTTATTCAGTTATTGCATAAGCCACCTGGAGGATGTTGATACCTTTCTCATCAGCAGTGAGAAAAGACCCTGTCCCAGAGGGTAAAGAAATAATTATCAAAGTATTTGACTTGATACTAACAAGTCTTTGTCTGTAAGTAATAAAAGCAAAACTAAGCCAAACTGGGAATAAATATTCATAAATTCCTCATGACACATTACATGTTGGCAGAGAAACAATTTGGCCATTTTTTCTCTTTCTTTTATTCCTATTCTTGGGGCTGCATAATTGAATCTGCAGCAAATCTGGTCCCATGTTATTTTTTGCCATTAAGTAGGTTGAAAGCCATGTGTACTGATAAAAGCACTGTATATCATTTTAAAACACATAAACCACGATATATTCTTTCAGAACTAATGTGAAAGTGAACATTATTAATACAATAAGATTTAGAATCCTTCACTTTAATCCATATCATAAAATTTCAAGCCAGGTTTTGGCATAAACCTCACTTGTCTGATTCTAAAGCTATGTTATTTTCTAGAGGGAAACTAACATTGTATGGCATGCATGTCAAATCAGTTTTACACAGCCCTGTGCAAAACTCACAAACATTGCTAGGCCAGAAGACCTCAGAAGTCTACCAAGGGGTTTTTTTTAGGTGAACAGCCTTCCTAACTCTGCAGACCATACCTTCTTTACACGAAGAGGGGCATGATGTCCAGTCACTATATGGGGTCACAATACAGTCCTTCTTACAAGGAAGCAGACAAGGCCTTACAGTTTCAGGTCGAAGGCTTTCAGGACATCTAGAAAGGCAAAGGGAAATTATTAGGCTTCAATAGTAAGGCAGAAAATCAGATAATTTAATTTCTCTAGAATTTTCACTGTTAAAATTGCAAAACAACTCACTCATCTGTATTATTTAACTTCCAGGAGTCTTCCTTTCTGCTACAGGCAAGAACTATACAACTAAATTGATTGTTTCAAACCGGATCTCAATAAAGCTTCTCAAGGCAAGATGTGCAGATTTACTAATAGCAATGATGCTATTTAGAAACAAATATAACACTTACACCTTATCCTCTTATTATAATCTCTCCATTAATAAGTATTTATATTCTAATATATTTTAAGAAAAATTTTGTGAAAATTTAAATTATGAATAAGGATCTAATTCTATAATATATGTTTGTATGACTAAATAGGCTTTTTGCCTATTATAAGTTTCCAGGTTATTACACACTTTATTTTTTCAAATAAGTATTGTGTAGAATAACTTTATAGTGGAGTGTATTCTTTCATGGTACATGCTCAAAACACAATACTGTATTAAGAACTGTATATTTAATAATATATAAGATAATAAAAGTGTATAAATCAATCTGATAAGCATTTTTTGCTTTATTCCTGCTTTTACTTAGTGTATCTATTTGTGTTTTCTTTTCCATTAGTCCCTAGTTTTAAATTATGGGATTTAATCTTCTTATGTTTTTATAAACTACAATATCTTTTTTTGGAATAAAAATAGTGAATATAAATAAAGGTAGTAAATCAGTAGTTTAAAGAAAAATACTGTATGCTTGACATAAATTATAGTAAAATCAACTATTATTTTCAAAATAACAGCAAAAATATATCATTTATTGGGAACACAAGAGAAAGATAAGGATGAAGAACACTGAAATGTGTAACTTCATATAAGCTTTCACTTCTTAAGAGATAATAGGAAGCTGATGTATAGGTTTTAAATATACTTATTCAAAATACATTTAGTATATAATTTTTTACACTTGAGCTTAGCCAAAAGGCTGAGAAGTAATAATTTTTAAATTCCCCAATTCTCTGCATTTTCATGATCTGATGCTACTATTATTAGAGATAAAATGCTGATCATGAGCCTTAACACTAGAAAAAGATGTAGCTTAGAAAAGCAAAATATAATAACATCATTCATATAATTAAAAGTATCAAGTAACTTATGCTGATTCCTAAGCAATTCTCTTTTGAGGTCATATAAATCCCTGCCATGTAAGCTAACAGGTAATGAAAAAATAATCTAAACAACTAGTATAGTTCTTGCTAAAATAAATTGGCAAATCAGTGGGAAATAAGATTTTAAAATACTTTATATAAGAGAATTCAAATATTTTATAGTTCCAGATAAACTGCCTTTTGTCAAGTAAGTTAATCAGGTTTTCAGAAGTGAACTATGAGTAAAAAAAAGCAACATCACTAATCTATTTCCCATAATTTCTTTATAGTATTTTGCTGATACTTCATTTTTGACATATCTTGTATTATTATTTATGTAAATTTTCTTTCTCATACATAAATATTATGCTTTATTCAATTATACAGATCCATGCTCTCCTCTATTACTTTAAAACCCTACTGTTCATTTGGAAGTAAATTTTAAAATATATAAGATTCAACATTTCAAAAATAATTTTTGATTTATCTTGAGCTGAAATTTTCCTAATTTCTATGACTATTCAAAGTCATGGACAACAAATAAATTTAGATTTGAATCATAGAAGCAAATGTATTATTATAATTTAGATTGTAAATCAGTAGAATTACAATTTAACCTGCATTCTTAACCAGGGAACATTACATGGCAAAACTCCACATATAATTCAGTTAATTCTTCTGGAACTATGAGATTATTGGTCAGTAATTATGATTGTCAGCACTTTTGTTCAATAAGGCAATTTTATAACTTTAACAATGTGAGAGCATTACTCAGTTGCATGCCCCTCAGATATTAGCCCTGAATAAATCAATGAAATTTACAATGTTATCATTGACAACCTCCAAATATTCTGTTTTAGTTGAGAAATAGTCACAGCAAGATACTTGGCTAACTGTGGAGAACAAAATTACAAACAACAAAGTTGTTAAATGAACACACAAAGGTAAATTATACAGCCTAGATTACATCCAGTAAAATGAATTTGGACTTCCTTTGGCAAGGCAATTGGTTCAGTCAACATGCTTCTTTTATCCTTTGTACTGTTTGTATTTAGTGTTTGCAGTTTAAATCAAGGAATCGATTTTCCCCCAAATCTTATTCAAGGTCAAATTAAACAGATGTGATAGGAGTTGAAGTTTGTTACCGGGAGGATAGATAAGATCAATAACATTGACTTTACCATTGCACAGTAATCTGTTTTATTAAGAGAAGTTTAAAACAAATTTTCAATTTGCATTTTTTGGTTCAAGTATCTAGTATTGGAAACCATTCACTGAATTTAACCTAGCATGTAGAAAGGCAATAATATTTTCTTTTGAATTCACAGTATTTGCTTGATTTTCTAGAATCTTAAAGGCAAAGTGCATCCATTTGATTTAACAAGTCTATAGATGTATACAGGTCACTGAATGAACGCTGCAAGGGCAAAGCGAATTTTAATGAATTATTGTGGTAGTACGATGTGGGACTTCAGGATACCCTTCCTACTGATTTAATGCTGTTAATCCAGCAGGCTCTTTCACATATAGGCTTGTACATATGTATATCCATTACTCAGGAAAAATATTTTGTAGCTTATAGAAGTGAGGAAAATGTCAACAGCAACATTTGAAAGGTGATTAACCGTGGGACAGGGACCGAATGAGCTCACTGGTAGAAGCTCAGCACGATAACCCTCATCCGGCATCACAACAGGTTGGTCCTGTGCCTGGGTAGTGAATATTTCTACCTTTGTTCTTGATCCAGCAAGAGTCAGAATCCTCCAGGACTTGGGACATCTGCTCTTGCTGTTACCACTTTTGAATTTTAATATACTGCACATTAATTTCCTGAGTTAGATTCATCACAGCTTTAGCATAATTTCTATTAAAATATTGGTTTGAGACTACCTATTAAACATGTGAAATAGTCTTTCAATTTATTCAAATCTCATTGGCATGTTTTCTGTGTTTCCTAATTTCAAGCAATATAAACAAAAATTGTGGGGCAAAATATCCCTAATGTCTGGAACCCTGGGCAGATACAAACATCTCATAATGGGATTCATATTTGTTTCCTTGGAGTTTTTCATGCATCAGAGACATTATTTCCATTTTCCTGGAACACTAAGGAGCAACTGAAATTCTTAAGAAAAAAACCAATTTCTAACATTTATTGAGTGCTTAGATTACTATTAGATTTTTCATTAAATCCTTTCAACAGATTTTGAAAACTGTTAGCCAGAATAAAAGTTCGGTAGCATGCTGAAGATTACACACAATATTTAACCACTTGGCTGAGTATTTAGAAAATATGAGGCCACTTTTAAACCCATGCTAAAAAAAATCGACTCATTTATCATTTCTTATCTCACATGGCTAAGGCGATTTGAATTTTTAAAAAGTATGTTAAGTTTTGAAAAATAGAGGTTTTTCCCCTCAATTTTTTTTAGAGTTATTTTCTCTATGAATTGATTAGCTCAGTTATGCCATTGTTTTTCTTTATACTTCTCACAAGGCACATATAATATGCCAACTCTCTGGTTCCTTGTTCTCCCCTCCAGCAAAGTGTTTGGCTTGTTATTACAGTACTCATAAGCACCCTGAGAATCTGATAGTTTTTCTACTTATAATAACACTCATCCTATCCCAAGGCTCTCTCTTGGAAGTAAATGGTTTTTACTCTAACCACTGAAAGACATAGTAAGTATGCTTCGGTATTTTTCATATAGTGTTGTCTAGGGGAAATGAAAGGCAGATCATACAAGGCTTCTACCCAATTAAACTAGATTGGACAGCCTCCATAGCCTAGGGGTATATAGGAGGTCATGGATGACCTACACTGCCAGGACTTAGTACACTGTCATTATTGATCAGCCAGGCTTACAGCAAGCACTTCTTTCATTGCCTCACTAGCTTAATAAAAGCAGAAAGTGCTACTATAAAACAGAAAGTAGGTACCAGATAGAAAGATTTCTACAGAATTTATGGTTCCCCAGTACAAAACTCAAAGCTGTTACAGCTTTATCAGTGGCTGACTTTCAAAACAAACAAATCTTTCTCTTGAGGATAGGTATGACAAGCATCAAAATGTTCCATTTCATGGAGCTAGTGATGCCTGAGCCAATCCTCTGCATAGTTGGCTATATGATTTACTGTTGTCATTCTAAAGCTCTTACTTTTTGGGTCCCACTTGGCCCACATTGACTCGCACACAGATGACTTTTCTTGTTTGCATGCCCACAGAGCAGGAGGCCTCCCCATTCCAAGTTGTAGTTGTGTTGAAGGACGATACTGAGGTGTCCTCAATGCACTGACCCCAGGGACCAGTTTGCCAGTGGTATACCGTGCAAGGATGCTCATTACAGCTTCGTACCTCTTGCAAAGCACTGCTATTTGGACAGCGAATTCCACCTAAAAAAATGGACAATGATAGCAGATTAGATACAGTGCCAACAGGAACCTTACCATTCTCTGTTCTTTGGAATTAACATGGCTGACAAGAACAATATCTGCCACTTATTTGGCACACAGCTGCACTGCTAGGGAAGCAAATTACGTGTTAATCTTACCTCAGTTGGCATGATCTGGCTTAAAATATAAACTCTGTAGTTACATGATACTTGCTTTAGGGGTCTATGGAAGACCTTAAAGAAAGAGGCTGTTGCCCTCCAGAGAAAGTGAAAATAAGATAAAACAAGGCCCATGTCATTGCTGACCAGGAGAAACATGGGTACTGAGACTTTGTGGATGGAGAAAATGAAGTGTATTTTCAAATGTTATTACCCAAGTTGCAAGTCTTAGTTACAGTTTTTGAAATGCTGCTTAATTTAATGTATTAGGTTTTAGGGTGATTAGAAACAGGGATATTAACATGGAATGATACTTCATGATGCTCCAGAGCATTACTGGGAAGGTCACTGAGTAACAATATCATATTTCTTCAAGTCTAAGTTGTATTGACTGTGCAATACACCATCATTTTACATGTCCCAAAGAAAAAGAAATGGCTGCAAATTAAACTATGATAATTCTTTCTGATCTACTTCAATTTATATTGTATGCTTATTGAAATAGCTTTTTATGGGTTAGTTTTAAATATTGTTCTTTTACATACATTAAAAGGAAAGGTATTTCTAAAACTTATTTATATTCAGAATCCAAATCTTTCAAGTCAATTTTTAATTCACACCCACTGAAGTCTGTATTCTCCTCCTATTCAGTATCAGTTTCTGTGATGTCAAAAGTGCCAACGATGTACGGTTTCTTAAAAAAGTGTTCTCCCCTTTTGTCTCCAGAATTGTCTTCCAGGATGCTGATATGCATCTCTAAGTTTTGATGTTGTAGCATTTTTAATTGCCCCAGAAGGTGTCAATGAGAGTTTTAAGCAAGCAACTGGGATTTATTTTCTTTCCTCAAATGGTCCTAGCAGCTTTTTTTTTTTTTTTTTTTTTTTTTTTTGCAGAAGCATCATGGAATTGCTCCACCAGGAATAACAACAAAGTTCACATGTACGAGCAGTGATGACTATGCCATAACTGTTGCTTGGCCACAGAGGTTTTAAAATGATTCCAATGTGAGATGCAATTATTCCAGAGATGTTACAGGGTAAAACAGATGCATCTTGTAATTAATAGTATATGGTATAAGAGTTATTCTGGACTTTTAAAAAATGTGGTGGCCCCATTGTAAGTATTTTGTAGGTGGCATTTTATTTTACATTCACAACTGTTCTATGAGTTAAAAATCATTAAATGGATGAACCCAAACAGCTTACATGATGTGACCATAGTGACAATGAGGAATTTATGGAGGCCAATTTGTTGACGCTGTGCTATTTCTGATGACAATTATGAAAACAAAAATTCTTATGTTGTTAAAAGCAGGATGTTAGAAGAATTTACTGCTCACTTTATTGACAGTTTGTTCTGTTGGAACTTACGCAGCCTCTGGACTTCATCTTAGAATATAAAAGAACTAGTTGTAAAAAAAAAAAGAACTAGTGGAATGGTGGGAACCCTGAGTGCTCCTCACAAATATTTGCAATACAGGAAATAGAGGAAATGTTGAAAATAAAAAGAGGTGGGCTTTAGATTTTAGAAAAGCAGGCTTCGTAAAGTTAAAAATGAGTAAGAAAAGGCAATTCAGTAGCGAGTGACCCTAACATGGAAGATGGCTCAAGAAGTGAGATTTGGATACAGATCAAACATAAAGCCATGGGCCACAGCCTGAGCTGATCTTCCAGTGTCACTTCCCTTATGATTAAAGACATCCCTTTATTCAGCAAATAAATCAGTAGAAAGTCTATGCGAGAACCCAACTTCAATTTAGAATCATTTATGCAGTGTTGAACATAGACTCAACATCAGAATAACCTGCATTAACTCAACTGCAATTTAGAATCATTTATGCAGTGTTGAACATAGACTCAACATCAGAACAACCTGCATTAAACAGCATTTCATTAATGTTCTCTGCTTCATGATGGTGGAAACTCTGCCACAGTTCATATCCTATCCTCTGTCACACAGCTCTGTGACCCTGGAAGCCTCCACAAAGGAGTTTAGGATTTGAATAGAAATGAATCCTAAAACATTCTAACTGGGCTGGGGAGAATAAGTAAGCTCTCCTATTACCCATTCTTCAAAGTGCTAGATTTATCCAATCTTAACTCTCAGACAAGCTAATTATAGACATAATATATGTGTATATTTTTATATAATTATTTTAATAATGTCTTTATATTTAATAGTAAAAGTACTGATCTTGCACAAAGAATATGCTTCTTGATTTACCTTATTTTCTCCGTGATTATTAAGTATGCTGTTTAAAATGTGATCTTAAAACTTCAGATTGTTTTTGACATTGGAATTGACTGTTTGGCTTTGAAATAAAATAAGAAAAAAACTTTCACAACATCAGTATAAAGTGTTGAGGAACTGCGAGATAGTGGTTAAGTTTAGAGACATAAAGATTATTTATTTTCTTGCCCCAATGCACATTAAAGATACATCAGCAGTTTTGGTCTGATGTCAGGATACTTGCACAAATAAGCCCCAATGTGGTCTTAATTATAAAAAGAAGATAGCAATTTTGAAAGTATGGTTTGTAGTAATTAGTCATTGAAGCAGCATCATGTTGTTTGGGGGATAATTTTATGGTAGAAAAGTTGATAGGTATAATATTGAATTTATCTATTATTTACAGAAAGATGTAATTCCAGCCTTCTGGGAATATTTTCATAGTATTGGGGAAATTATAAAATGTGACTTATGACAAAATTAGTCATAATTTAAAAAATCTTCTTACATCAAAAAGTATGTTTTATACTAATACCACTATTTAGATTTTCTATTATTCCATCAAAGGGAATAATGTTATAAGGCTTTGATAAAATTCTACTATGTAAATAAACTCCTGTGGTTATATAAAAATACCTGTCATTCTGTGAAACTTCTTAGAAATAAAAAAGTGACTTTTCCTCCCCACATCAAGTTAATAAAAGCTTTTTTAGGAGGCATTTGAATAGAGCTATGATGTTTCTGGTTCTGGCATTTATGTCCTTACAATTTAGATGATAAATTTTTTAAAAAGAACCTTGTTTAAAACAATAATTAAATACATGCAATATTTATGTGAGATGCTTCAAGGGATACCTACAGGGGTTAAAAATAGTTCCTGCTACACTCAAGGATCGCATAATGTAATGGGGAAAAGTAGTAGGGGAGATAAGACAAGCATACAAATGAGTATAATTCTAGACGGAAAGAAAAAATTATATGGTGGGGTATTTAGTATAACTGGGATTCAAAGAGTACAATTTCACTACATTTCGGAGTCTGAAAAATGCCTCAGATTGAAAGAGGCACTGAGAAAAGTTTTGAAGGAGTAGGATTTCAATAAGCAGAATTCTGGGAAGGGAAAGAAGGAAAAGACTATAGTATCTAAGTAGAAAAATAAATAAACAGAAGCAAAGGTATGCAGGCAGGTGTGACCTTGGGAATTAACAATATTGACGTAGTCAATTGGAGTGTAGAGTTCACATCAGAAAGTAATTGGCAACAAGAATAAGTAGCCTAGGCTTATGTTATAAAGAAGCTATTAGTGTGATGAGTACTATTATCATGGTACTATAAATTATACTTTTAAGGTGCTTCTAACTTTTCTTGCCACTGTAGCCTGAATTCCTTTGACGGCAGACCACTGCTGGGTGAAAAGTGCATTGGCAAGGATATGCTTTGGGGGTACTGAATTGGAACAGCATTAGCTGTGGGGTACCTCAGGAGATTCTGCTGTAGCACAGTCCCATCCCCCAAGTTTTCTTTGCAGAAACAGGCAGAAGACTGTCTAATGTGCAGCCTGCATAAATCCTGTTTGACGGTCAAGTAGTGACAGATTGAAGCAGAACTCTCTTTTCAAGGTCAATGGTGGGAGAATGGGGAAGTTACAGTATTTACTTAGAAATCAGAGTTACGAGTACACATATATACGCATACATGCAATGAATCTGGTGTTCTTCAAATTTTTCTAGGTAATATGGGTACTACCTGGTTACTACAGTTAAAATCATTTAGCTATAAAAATTGAACAAGTTAAATAAAAATACTCTTCTCAATGTTCTGCATTGTAAAATATGACTTCTGAAGACTATTAATTATTTGAGAAAAAATGACAATTTATTTCAATCTGCATCTATTCTCTGCTTGTATAAGACAGGTATAAAGACATTACTATTTGGTTGATGAAGTTCTATCAGGTCATATTGAACTTAACAAAAATAAATATTCTTTCCTTTTTTTTTGTTCTGTAAGAATAATTAACTATATCATGAGAATTAAAAGAAATTGTTATACCCAGTGGGAAACATTTTAAAAAATAACCTTTTCCTTTTTACATGAAGTTTGTTAGGATCTACAATACAGGTTCAAAAAATTGAGAAAGCTAAAAATCTAACATTAATTTTTAATTTTTTGTTCAAATTCAACTTGCTATTTATATTAAAAAATATGCCAGACGTAAGTATTAAAAGGTTGCCTCCCTTTAGAATTTCCTAACATAACTTTAAAACATTTTTTGAGACAACTCCTACAGTTTATACAATATTTACATGTTAAGGTAAGAACATTAAAAAGTGAATTGCCAATTTTATTTAATCAGAAGTCAAGCCTCTCGAAGATACACACACACACACACACACTTTTTTTTTTTAAGTGTAAAGAACTAATTTTACCTTCTCCAGTACATTAACTATCACCAGTTGCCAGTACTTGTGATTTGGTTTCCAAATGACATTTCAGTAATTAGCATTTTATGACAAATTTTGTATATTGATAATAGGTTATATAATGTTACTCAAGATGGTATAGAAAGCGCCAGGAATGGTGGCTCATGCCTGTAATTCCAGAACTTTGGGA